ACTGCCAATATCCCAAACCACTCCTTTAAAGTGCACACATTGTACTTTCCATTTCCAGGACTCAAGTCCGTCTGTATGAAAATAACCGGTTTCCCTGAATCCCTTCACTAAATATTACCCTGCTCACACTCCAACAGATCGTCAGGTCCCAAGTATCATTTGTCTCCATTCACTCATATCTAACACGCTCATGCACGCTTGCTGGAAGTCCAAGCCCCTCGCCCACAAAACCTCCTTTACCCCCTCTTTCCAACCCTTTCGAGGACGACCCCTACCCTCTTTCCTTCCCTATAGATTTATATGCTTTCCATGTCATTCTGCTTTGATCCATTCTCTCTAAATGACCAAACCACCTCAACAACCCCTCTTCTGCCTCTGACTAATGCTTTATTAACTCCACACCTCCTAATTTCCACACTCCGAATTTTCTGCATAATATTTACACCACACATTGCCCTTAGACAGGACATCTCCACTGCCTCCAACCGTCTCCTCGCTGCTGCATTTACCACCCAAGCTTCACATCCATATAAGAGTGTTGGTACTACTATACTTTCATACATTCCCTTCTTTGCCTCCATAGAATAACGTTTTTTTGACTCCACATATACCTCAACGCACCACTCACCTTTTTTCCCTCATCAATTCTATGATTAACCTCATCCTTCATAAATCCATCCGCCGAACGTAAACTCCCAAGTATCTGAAAACATTCACTTCTTCCATACTCCTCCTCCCCAATTTGATATCAATTTTTCTTTATCTAAATCATTTGATACCCTCATCACCTTACTCTTTTCTATGTTCACTTTCAACTTTCTACCTTTACACACATTCTCAAACTCATCCACTAACCTTTGCAATTTTTCTTTAGAATCTCCCATAAGTACAGTATCATCAGCAAAAAGTAACTGTGTCAATTCCCATTTTGAAATTGATTCCCCATAATTTAATCCCACCCCTCTCCCGAACACCCTAGCATTTACTTCTTTTACAACCCCATCTATAAATATATTAAACAACCATGGTGACATTACACATCCCTGTCTAAGACCTACTTTTTCCGGGAAGTATTCTCCCTCTCTTCTACACACCTAAACCTGAGCCTCACTATCCTCATAAAAGCTCTTTACAGCATTTAGTAACTTACCACCTATTCCATAAACTTGCAACATCTGCCACATTGCTCCTCTATCCACTCTATCATATGCCTTTTCTAAATCCATAAATGCAATAAAAACTTCCCTACCTTTATCTAAATACTGTTCACATATATGCTTCAATGTAAACACTTGATCTACACATCCCCTACCCACTCTGAAACCTCCTTGCTCATCCGCAATCCTACATTCTGTCTTACCTCTAATTCTTTCAATTATAACCCTACTGACACTTTTCCGGGGATACTCAGTAAACTTTTTCCCTCTATAATTTTTACAGTCTCTTTTGCCCCCTTTCCCTTTATATAAAGGGTTATACATGCTCTCGCCAACCCCTAGGTACCTTCCCCTTTTTCGTACATTTATTAAACAAAAGTAACCAACCACTCCAACACTATATCCCCCCCCCGCTTTTAACATTTCTGTCATGATTCCATCAGTTTTCCCGCTGCTTTACCGTTTCATTCTACGTAATGCCTCACGTACCTCCCCCCACACTTACATTGGGGCTCTTCTTCACTCCTAAAAGATGGTATTTCCTCCCTGGCCAGTGCATGAAATTACTGCCTCCCTTTCTTCCCTTAAAATTTAAAAGTTCCTCAAATTATTCTCACCATCTACCTAATACCTCCATCTCCCATTACTAACTCCCCCACTCTGTTTTTAACTGACAAATCCATACTTTCCCCCAGGCTTTCTTAAATTGTTTAACTCACTCCAAAATTTTTTTCTTATTTTCATTAAAATTTCTTGACAGTGCCTCTCCCACTCTATCATCTACTCTCCTTTTGCACTCTCTCACCACTCTCTTTACCTTTCTTTTACTCTCCATATACTCTGCTCTTCTTATAACACTTCTGCTTTGTAAAAACCTCTTATAAGCTACCTTTTTCTATTTTATTACACCCTTTACTTCATCATTCCACCAATCACTCCTCTTTCCTCCTGCCCCCACCCTCCTATAACCACAAACTTCTGCCCCACATTCTAATACTGCATTTTTAAAAACTATTCCAACCCTCTTCAACCCCCCCCCCTCCACTACTCATCTTTACAATAGCCCACCTTTCTGCCAATAGTCGCTTATATCTCACCCGAACTTCCTCCTCCCTTAGTTTATACACTTTCATCTCCCTCTTACTTGTTGTTGCCACCTTCCTCTTTTCCCATCTACCTCTTACTCTAACTGTAGCTATAACTAAATAATGATCCGATATATCAGTTGCCCCTCTATAAACATGTACATCCTGGAGCCTACCCATCAACCTTTTATCCACCAATACATAATCTAATAAACTACTTTCATTATGTGCTACATCATACCTTGTATATTTATTTATCCTCTTTTTCATAAAATATGTATTACTTATTACCAAATCTCTTTCTACACTTAGCTCAATTAAAGGCTCCCCATTTACATTTACCACTGGCACCCCAAATTTACCTACTACTCCCTCCATAACATTTTTACCCACTTTAGCATTGAAATCCCCAACCACCATTACTCTCACACTTGATTCAAAACTCCCCATGCATTCACTCAACATTTCCCAAAATCTCTCTCTCTCCTCTACACTTCTCTCTTCTCCAGGTGCATACACGCTTATTATAACCCACTTTTCACATCCAATCTTTATTTTACTCCACATAATCCTTGAATTAATACATTTATTGTCCCTCTTTTCCTGCCATAGCTTATCCTTCAACATTATTGCTACTCCTTCTTTAGCTCTAACTCTATTTGAAACCCCTGACCTAATCCCATTTATTCCTCTCCATTGAAACTCTCCACCCCCTTCAGCTTTGTTTCACTTAAAGCCAGGACATCCAGCTTCTTCTCATTCATGAACATCCACAATCATCTCTTTCTTATCATTTGCACAACATCCATGCACATTCAGACTTCCCACTTTGACAATTTTCTTCTTATTCTTTTTAGTAATCTTTACAGGAAAAGGGGTTACTAGCCCATTGTTCCCGGCATTTTAGTTGACTTTTACAACACACATGGCTTACGGAGGAAAGATTCTTATTCCACTTCCCCATGGATATAAAAGGAAAATTAATAAGACCAAGAACTATTAAGAAAAAATCAAAGAAAACTCAGATGAGTGTGTATAAATAAATGTGTACATGTATGTGTAGTGTGACCTAAGTGTAAGTAGAAGTAGAAGTAGCAAGACATACCTGTAATCTTGCATATTTATGAGACAGACAAAAGACATCAGCAATCCTACCATCATGTAAAACAATTACAGGCTTTCGTTTTACACTCACTTGGCAGGACGGTAGTACCTCCCTGGGTGGTTGCTGTCTACCAACCTACTACCTGTAAACTTAAATTTCTAGAGCGCTTTAAATGTCATAATATATTACGTGTGGGTGGGGTGGTCTGGCTGGCTACCATACCTACCACACTTGATTTCTTACAATAAATATTACTCAACTCTCACCCTACATTAAGACTATAAATATTTTAAGGTAAGTAATGAGTGTACTGTGTGTGTATTTTACTTTTTATTGTTTTTAATGCCTAGTTCTATTGCTAACTTAATATATGTTGGTGTAAACTTGTTTCTGGCATTTATGTGCATTTATAAGTGGAAAAAAATAGCATTCTGCTTTCTGGCGATGTCCGCTTTCTGGTGGTAGCCTGGAACCTAACCTGCCATATGAGTGGGGCACTACTGTATGGGAGAATAACATTCTTAACCAAGCAAGAGTATTCACAGACTTCAGAATGATTCTTTTGGATAAAATTACTGGATGTAATACATAATTTCATGATATATGTACACACCATAACATATACTGTATATGACACAGTACAATATTCATGAAATTATGACTTATCAAAATAAGTGTTTGAGCTAAAATGGATACTATTTGTGAAAACAGATAAATAAATATCATTACAACAAATATGTAGTGACAGCTCTAGGTGTTTTCCTTTACAGTACTGTGCTATATTGTAATACATATCATTTGTGATTAAGTCAAAAAAGTAATGCCAGCAAAGGAAAAAATGTACTAAGTGAGAAATATGATTAAACTAATGCTTTAATCTCATCAATAAAAAAGTCATATATAGCACTAAACTTAAATTTCCACTAACAGATCAGTACACAGAGATGCTTCAAAAGGGGTACAAAAAATTATTATTTTTGGTAAAATTGTATATAATCAATGATAACACGGCCACAGAGCACTATCATGAAGTGGTTCGTATTCTAATAAACTTCTCTATGCTAATATATGCAAAGTTAATGGATGTAAAGGGAAGGGAAGAGGCTTGGGTTAAATTTGTGCTTGGGAAGGTCTACCAAGGACAGATATTTACAAAGTAGGGATAATCCTGCTAATATTAAAAAATGAAATTTTCTGCATTATAATCCGTTTTATTATTTACTCTCGAAAGTTTCCTCAATACTAAGAATACCTTCTCTTTACCTTTAAAAAATTCCAAAGATTATGAGAAAAATAATCTTCATCACAGATTTGTGGTACCATATACATGTAGATAACTTAAACTGTGAAAAAACTTAAAGGGAAAACAAACTCAGCCTATGCCTCTCCTTACCACTACAAATGTAAAAGTAATACAAGCATTACACAAATAAAGAAAAAATTACCACCAGTCTAAACTTACTGCACTAGATGCCTGAAAATTGATGACTCTACCTGAACTCTGGCACTTGCACTCATTGATTAATCTCAATAAACTATTAAATTAAAAAAACACTTACCAAGCTTTTCATCAAGAACACTTCAAATTAATTAATGTCCTACATAGAGAAAAAGTAAAAATAAAAAAATTCAAATCAAGTTAGTTACACTTACTGCCTGTTTGTTTCAGGTGTGGGAAGGTCACCGATGGTGGTGAGAGTGAGGGTGGACCAGTACACAGAACCAAGGTATTTTCTTGATAATGTCTTAAAGGCAGAATCTGAGGAGAAAATCATGAAGAATTCATTACTGAATAACTACTCAAAACTATAATCAAGATTACCATAACTGTAGTACAATATATCCCTTTTTATCTAAATATTATTATTTGATTATTGCAAAATACAAGCTTCCCAGTAAGGAACATTTTTAAATGACCAAAGCTGCAGTATTTCAAATCTAGAAAATAGCCAGACTCATAACCAAAATTTAGTCATTACTCTTTAATATAATGTTGCTAATCTATCTGTACTAGTGGCAATATTATATGCACAGTTATCTCTGACATGCAACAATTTGTTTCCAATTGTTAATTCTCTTCAATATTTTTTATAATTTATGGCTCATCAAATGTAGGACAGGTGGTAACATGCCAATACTCTTTTTAACTGCATCACTACTAAGTGCATCTCTGCAACTTTTTAAGTCAAAACAAATATTGTTTGGCTAAGTCCTTGTCACATTAAAATATGGTCATTTATAAAAGCTACCAGGAATTTTTTAAGTTCTAATATAATTTTTAAATTTTTGTTAATATATTATTATTATTATTATTATAATCAAAAAAGAAGCGCTAAGCCACAAGGGCTATACAGCTTTGTTAATATAGTCCTGAAATTTTCATATCACCAAAATTATTTATAGACTGTCATCCTCAGGATCAAAGTCATACTGGTTTCGAAGAATCGCTTTTATATCAAAAGCTCATCTATCAAAATCAATACTCTTAGATGTAACACACACAATTAATTTATCCACTCTTGATTATATGCTGGCACATCATTTAGAGATGGTAAATTGTCATAAACAGAAAATGACTGTACCAAGATTTAAAAACAGGGAAGAGGTAAACTCTATAAACCAGGGTTCCTCAGAGCCTGGTTGCCTTTCACTGAGTCACAAGCAATAGGAAGGACCATTAATCACACTGAGCAGGTAGATTTCAAATTGACTTATCAGTTATCTTTGTTGTATGTTCATTAATATAATGAATTACTTTAAATTATTAAAATATGGCATGATTCTAATGGGTCAAAAAACTTTACCTGTTATGGTATTTTAGATTTTTAGAATTGAATCGAATAGGATCGTGAGGATACGTGATATTATAGCACTCGATAATGGTAAAAAAATTAAATGGTACTTTATCCTATAGGCTTGTCTCACTAATGTGTGCAGCCATTCAAACAGTGGAAAAAATTATTTAGGACATTCACTCCTAAAAGAAAATAAGAAATTGAGTATGATGTAACATTTATACAATAATTTTTCATTAAAAAAATGTGTGTGGAGGACTTAATATTCCATACTCAGACTACATTACTTAATTATAGTGAATAATTTAGTCATAAAAATTTTCCTAAAATAGCTTTACAATTATATCCTAGAGGATTCTTATTGTTAGTTCAATAGTACAAATGCTAAAAAATATCACTTATCAGGTTTGTCAATCTCAGGACTTGTATCAGGCATAAAGCATTTTTCCCTTGGTATATATGCAGTGAAAGCAGAAGTATTTCTGTTAGTGCATATAGGTATGCTGATTTTACTCTCTATTTAATATAGTATTCTTGAGGTTAGTGTACATGTGAAATGTAGCTTTATTGACTCTTCTGCGATTGATAGGCTTTAAAGCTAATAACAAACTATTAGATCGTCTATTAAACTGGTTTGTTAATGGTACAGTATGATACTGAATTATCAAATAATACCAACCTGAGTGTGGGCGGGGAGGATGTGAATGAAAATAAAGCACTCACCATCATGATAGGGATAGGTCCAGTCTCCCCTGAAGTGCTCGGCCTCTGAGAGCATGTAGTAGAAGCAGCCAAACCAGTGAGCGAGGAGCAGAAGGATGTGTATGAGGTTCATCACCCGCCACATGTTGGGATATAACGTACGTGACTCCACCATATAATAATAGTTGTACACGCGATACACCTTGATAAATCTTGGAAATCTTATGATAGGGTGAGTACCAATCTAAAACAGAGAAATTCAATAAAAAAATATTTCTTTTACTTGGTGGAATTAATACATAAATAATTTGCCAATTAGTTAATTATACTACACAAAGAATTTTGAGATATTAAGTACTGACTAGTTTCAGGCCCCCCTCCCCTTTCTTGTGTTATTTATGTACATTACTGCTGTCCTGAATGTCATCATAGTATGTCATTGCTTGTCACCAAGATTTACATTTCTTTATAACAAATTAATGCATCAGGAAGAGTACTTACCACAAATTGTAAAAAATCTAATGGGAAAAGAGATACAAGGTCAAGCATAAAACTCCTGGAATGCATGTAGTGGTTGGCGAGCTTCTTGAAGTCGTACACTATAAGGCCCTGCTCAAGGTAACCCGTCCGAAACTGTACCAGGATATCCAGCAGAAAGATCATATCTGTAAGCCCATCACTCAGGTACCTGTAAGCAAAGGCACCACACTGATCACAAGTTCTGTATGCAACATTAAAAAAGAGGGAGAAGCTTACGACGACGTTTCGGTCCGACTTGGACCATTGACAAAGTCACAGTGTGACTTTGTCAATGGTCCAAGTCGGACCGAAACGTCGTCGTAAGCTTCTCTCTTTTATGTGCGGGTTATTTGTGTATCGTTCCAGTCACGGTATTGTGCCTTTTTGTTATTTAAAAAAAAAAAAAAAAAAAAAAAGAGGGTCAAGAAAGTACATGGCAATGTGATTAATGTGTTCATGTGACTTATAAATTTAGTTCAAATGCCAGGAATGTGTAATTAAGCTAGAGCTTTTGATCAATGAGATATATGAACAATGCTGGGGTATCTTTACTGTTTAAATGTTTTGCCTGTACAACAGGCTTCTTCAGACACTTACAAGCAAATATAATACTGGAGATGGTAAAAGTCATTTTGACTTGATCAATCTGTTGCCCTTGATAGGTGGTGATCAGTTCCTCAAGCCTAAAACACAGGCATATGGGCAGATTAGAGCAGATGTGAAGAGAAGTAGCTGGAGTTGACATCAAAATCCAGACTTGTTCTGCATACTCTCTCTCTTTACAATACTTGTCATACCTTCTACCTTTGGTATACCACTGATGAGTTC